TAGGATAGTTTTGCTTTAAGCATCTGAGGGAAAGGTGATCCAAAAAAGCAGGTGTCCATTTTAAAAATCCCCCATCATTAAGGCGCATTTTACTGAAGGATAAAAAAAGCAAAAGTTTGTTCTTCATTTGGAAACGTGGCATTTGCATCCATTTCTCCCTTTAATTATTGCACATATACAGTATAATGAAAGGCTTGCCTTCATGGATGCCAACCATGAAAGACCAGACATTCATTTTAGAATAGTAAGGTTGGACCTCAAAAGAAAGACATTTATAGTCTTTTACAGATGAAAACCCAGAGTTTACACATCATATTTTCAGAACACTTGGCAGAGAAATTAAAAAAAAAATCAATGGCCTGCACCTAATGGCTTCCAGTGCCACTTTTTTGTTTGTTTTATTGTTCTTGAAGCTGTTACTTTTATGGTTTTGTGACTTTGTGTTTCAGCATTTGGCTTTTAAGAGGTTAATAACAGCCTAACTTGTCATTAAAACCTAAAAACATTTCATGTCCATAAAAAAAACAAAAGCTTGTATTAGCTGTATACTTTTTTAATGTAGCACAAAAGCCCGAGAAATATGATAATGGTTCATCAAACATACAGATACAGTGTATGTGCACTTTAAACTATAAGAAGCTAAGGCCCACCATTACCTTTTAACTACTTTGTAGGCCACCCTGAGAAAAGAATGAGCCTTAAATGTTTTATTTCAAAATAACTACCAGGGGTGGAACATTGTAGTAAATACTATTACAGTGGGTAACATTTTTGTAAAATTAAGATAATTTATTTCCAAACCTAGACCTCAAGGCAGGTTCATCTGGTTTTGGTCCATCTAAGCATCCTGTTGCTTAATTGCACTGATTATTTAATATACTTTTTTGCTAATGGTGAACTTGATATAGCTTCCATGTCTTGTATGGTTGTGTTATGTAGCTCAATTGTTAATAATTGAAAGATGACAATGCTGCAGAACAATGAAACCTTGGTGATTCATTGGAAACTTTTACCTAAATAGTGAAATGCTCATGGTTCTTCTGAATTTTATTTGTTCCTTAGGTTATCCTTGATGGACACAAGCAGTGTGACCTAAGGAGTCTCTTTTTAAAATAATCTGAAGTTAAAATAAAAAGTGGATCAGTTATGCACATGAATACTGTATGTTTAAGTATACAGTATGTAAAGACAGGCTGCTAACATACTTGTACCGAGTATGCATACTTGCATACTTGCATACTTGATTCCAATAACTGAATAGCATTTTGTTATTGTGAATAGGCTCTCCTAAAGGTGCAACTGACTGTCAAAAAAGTTTCAATTTCATAAATGACTTTAATATATGACAGAAAATTATTTGAAAAACTTGAACATGTTCAGTGAAGAACATGCATTTTGGAACTAGACCAATCTTTCATAATAAGGTCATGTAAGGAAGACCTACAGTAAGTCCTTTTTAATGGATGTCATCATGAAACAAAGGTGAAAATCACATTTATACTGTATGCATCATTCATTATAAAACTATTCAGTAGGTTTCAGGAAAACTAACACAAAACAGTGTTTCAGTCCTGTACCCAAATGTCACTCAAATATGTTTATAGAGCATGTAAGCAAGAAAGTATTAAACCAGAGATATTCCTCTAAGTACTGTGAATTTCAGCATGTTGTTCAAACTATTCTAGAGTGAATATACTGATCTTAACAACGTTAGACAAGCATAAAATATCCTAATATCAAATGCAGGATGCTTCAGAGAATCCTAAACTGGGTACTTCTTTTTTGGACAAGGCTTCCAATTTATTTCACCTTAGCTGTCAAAGACTTTATTTTTGATGTTTTTCTCTATTTGTACAAGGGATAAAACCCTTGTATATCTAAGAAAGTAGGAAAAAGACCAACAGATATCTCATAAATGCAACTCATTAAGCTATATCTTATCTTTCAAGTCAAGAGAATGTAGTTCTCCTTGATTTCCTTCTAATGCTCTCACAATTTTTAAAACCATTCACAAATGATTTAGGTAAGCAACATGCATTATTAAATGCTTTTAGTTTGCTTATAGATACTTATTATTCATAGGTTAAAATGAATCAAAACTATGGACATCTAGAGGAATTAAAAGCCCCAGATATTCAAACAGTCTCTATAGACATAAAGGCAGTTAATAGATTTCAAATTCCATTCCAGCCATTTAAAATAGCACATGAACTGAAGATCAGAAACTGACAGGAAAGTCCTTTAAATCCATTACAAGCTATTTCTATGACACAAGAAGAAATGAATGAGAGAGCTTTGGAACATCAGGATTTTCTTGTATCTGTTTCTGTTGCTCTGCATTCTCACCATATTTGGTTAATATTTCTTAATTACAGTCTATTAGGTGTCTTATATCTGGGGTTCAGTTCAATAATGACCTACATGGTCTTCTTTGTTGCACCCAGTTCCTTTCTGCCTAGCCTCCAAAAAGCAAAGAAAATCAGGTATCCAAGAAGTTTCACTTCCAGTAAAACAATAAAATAAAATCCCATTCCAGCTGTTTGAAATAGCACATGAACTGGAGCCAAAACTCATAAGCCTGACAGTATTATTTTTGTGAGTGTGTGTGTGTGTTTTAACATCATAAATGGGAAAAAAAGGTTGAACACCTCTAAGGCAAAGCTTTTTAAAAATGTCTGCTTATCGCTTGAAATGCTGGAGCACTCAGCTTGCACTGGAGCTAAATGCTGTGACATCATTGGGCAAAGAAGGCACACAGTGACATCACCATGCAGGACGCCAATGCAAACAGCCTTCCAACAGTGAGTTCTGTGGTGAAAAGAACTCCCTCCTTCCTCCTCAAGCCAGCAAGTGTCCAATTAGAACCAAATTAAGGTGTTTGCACTTGCAGTTAAGCAAATGTCCAGGAGCTATACAGTATATTCATTTTTTCAATTAGATCAAAGGTGACTACATCAGGTTAAGACACTGTCCTCCTACAGTATCTACTAGGTTTAGACTTACTGTCCATGTGCAATAAGAAACTTTGAAATAATTGAGAAAATAATCAAACCTGGGGTATGAGCAATACACATGGTGATTTCTCTTAATTTGTTAGGAAATATGACTTTTATGAGGAGTAGTTTCTATTGAATTCTAATTTCTGCCAGGCAGAAAACCACAAAACTGTTCTGATGCCAAGAAGTAGACAATGGGTTTATCCATAGAACCTTTTTTAATTTCTTTTAATTCTTGTGTTTTTCCATCATTCATATTCTGGAATGCAAATTCTTCTACATAAAAATATTTTTACAACATCCTAGCAAGATTACTTAGATACTTGCTGCAAAAATGAAAAGATCATTAAAAAGCAAAAAAACGTTAAATCTGCTTTATGAACAATATACTTTTTTCAAACAGGTTCAGAGTGTATTACTTTCTGAGCAATAGTCTCGACAGACAAGCTAGCAACTCCACCCTTATGCTCCCCGTAAGTCTGTTAGTAAGCTCTTGAAAGTCTGACACCACGTTGCACAGAAAGATTGGAATAACAGTCCTTTAACACTGATGGGGTACTTTAGGTAAACTAACATTGTAACAGGTACCTGACATGACGCTTCCACCTATTTACCTACTTTAAACAGCCACTTTAGTTTTTTTTTCTGAAATTTACAGTAAAGTGGATAATCGCGCGTTAAAAAAATCTTTTTATTTTATTTTACAGGCGCCCTTAATCACGGATTTTAAGTTTCCCGACAGACTTTAATAAAAACTCACGTCCGTCTTTAATATATGCGATCTTTTTTTTATGGAAGCCAGGTGTGTCAGCACCACATGGCGGTCTGGATTATTTCCTGTCTTGATTCTGATCCAGTTCAGGGTGATCCCTTAAGAGCTGTATTTAAAGGTTGATAGTTTCTGCATTTTTTGTGGAGAAAGCAGAAACTGCCAGATGTTTCGATCTATCGGCATTTCAGTTTCGTTACCATAACCTACTGTAGGTACCAGAGTTTCCATGTACAAAAGGACAAAGATTTTTCACCGGTTTACTAATATAACAATCCCAGACTGACAACTGTTTTTTAAAAATTGTTGGTTGCACAAACATCATTTTGTTTTTGAGTTTTGTTATGTATTTCTTATATTTCTCATACTGTATATAATAGTCATTGGGATCTTCTTTCTGAACTTAATAAAAAACCTGTGGATTAGCAATTAACTTGTGGATTGACAAATCAGTTTTTAGTAAAACTTCACAAAAACTTGTAAAAAAAAGCTTTTGCCAAATATTTAACGAACAAGCATCTAATTTAAAGGAGTGCTAGAAGTAGAGGTCCACTTATAAATCAGTGCAAGAAGAATAAAAAGACTACATTCTGTGTTTTAAGGATTATTCTTTTAAATATGAGAACAAATATCCTGTACAGTATGTTTCTGCAGTACTGTAGGTCGTTTTCTTGGGTTTTGACTGGGATTGTACACCCAAAACGAATGTACAATAGGTGGCGCAGATTTACAGGTTTCTTTTTAAAAAAAAACCTAGTGGGTAGCTAGCGGGCAGCAACATTCCTTTGATCTTAAGAAACAAAAGTTCAAGCAAGTATTCCTGTAAGGTTTTTTTTCTGCAAAAGCAAGATGAAATTGCAATTTCTTCACATTTTGCAAAGCCTTACTGAAATTTTAATACTGGTATCGCCACTGCATCTAATAATGAAGATTAAATGAACTCAAATTAAACACAAAGCATTGTGATACGCTCCTTAAAGCACAGAAAGGGCCCCCGGCTCATATCAGCTCAGGGAACTAAAACGAATTTGGAATGCATTCCAAAAATATAAACATTTTGTTGTTTTTTAAGCGACAACGTAGATTCTCGTCTTAGGGGAAAAAATGACAAGGATATTCGCGAACTGCACACGGAACTTGTTTTGTACACAATACAATAACTGAAGTTTAAACAACTCACAGAGCAATCAATTCTGCAAAGGGAGAGAATGGAGCTGTACCATTTTGCCACTTACCTGAACTGGCTTGCGAAGTAACAAAAAGTAGAACTATTGCTAAAGTAAGGTGCATGTCCCTCCTTATCCGAGGTTTTATTTTCCATCTTATATGGGTATCCATGATCACCAATGATGTCCACTAAAATGTGGATCGATTTGATTAAATAAAAAAATACTTGTGATAACTTCTGATCAGGAGAGTAATCGTAGCCAAGATCCCAGAGAAAAAAACTGTTACTTTTCACACAGCCATAAGTTTGCAGTCTGGCTTCCACCAAGGGTTAGTACATTGATGGGGGCAACCCTGCCTCTCTCTCCCCTCTCCGTTCTTCTGTTCTTTTCGATTCTGAGTCTAAGATCAGAAGTGATGCCCCCTTTCTGACTCGGCTCTGAAGGATCTTGGAAATAAGGGGGAAAAAAGTTTGCCGAAGACTGTCATTCAGGACGAGAGAAAGAAAGAACAGCAAATCACAGCTCTGGACATGGAAACCCGGCTTCTTCATTGGATGTAAAACAGAAAAAGTTTGGTTAACGTTTTCTCTTCTTCCTTTCTGTCCCCCAAGACAGGAGGTTTTAGTTTTTGTATTGGAAACGGACAGATTTTTTGTGATCATTTTCTCCAACCAGACGCGTTCTTTCCTGAAAAAGGCGTTGCAGCGGGAAAACCAAATTTAAAATCAGACATCGAAAGAACTGGACTTCTGGAAGTAAAATTACAAGAATAAAAATACCACTATTAAAATATGTAAATACCTTAAATACGGTTCCACTTCAATAATATTTATAATACATTTTACACTGTATAATTAGATTAGTGTATAACAGCAATATAAGTAGTACAGTGAGTTGCTTTATATTGAAACAAAGTGAAATAAGTTACTAGTCGCTTGAGCTCTTGTGCTCTGTACTAAAATGCGATTTTTTTATGTGTAGTACATTTAAATGAAGCATTAAAATCAGCTGTACATGAAGCTGTTATGAATCGTACAACGTAATTCAAGTTTTAAGTCATGCACATTTTTCTTCGTATTGGACTAACGGTATCCCCTGTATTAAAACTCGGTATAGCCTGTATGTATTCTTTCAAAGGACATTAGACAATTTACGAAATATTTTTTCAATGTTTTAAAGTTCTGTTAATATATATTAAAAGAAGCAAATACAACTATTTGAGCAGTAACATTCTAGATACGCGACACTTGTGACAACAGTGACAACTGGATCTCACTGGGTAGAACAGGTGTTGAACTTCCGACATCTCCAAGGATAAATTTATTTACAACAGAGATGCCCTAAAGCTAAATTCAGGTCCTTCGTTCACTTGCTTTTCACCATTACTGCATTCCAATATTGTTTATCACTTCCTTTACGAAAATAACCTAAAGCTTTCTGTGGGGACATTTCTAAATCATAGGTCTTAGTTTTTTACGGTATCTTTGGTGATTTATAATACTGTACATACTGTACCAGATGTAGATGTAAAGTGCAGTACATGTTACATTGCTAAATCTTGTTGTTATGGTATCTATAAACAGGTTTTCAGATAGCTTTGTTGAATAGGCAGCTGGATTTGTAGCAGAGTCACACAGGTAAGCGTTCTCCACTAGTGATTCAGGCCCGTTGTGTTGAAGAACATTAATCACAGTGGTTGTTTGCCCAGCTTTTAGTAAAATTGCTTGCTTTTGCTTTAAACAGTTTACCAGTACCAACTAAAACAGATTAAATATAATTTGTTTTAATCACCTCCTTTGCTTTCATGTTCTCTGTACCTTTGCTGCTGTGAATGATTTACTGTATTAAGATGATTCGACAGTCTCAAGAACTTCGTAAAGTTGCACTATTGAAGCTTGTGTCTGGGCTGTGTTAATCTGAGTGAACTGAAATGGTGCTGAGAGTACACAATAATAACAATCAGTGAATAATGAAGTCTAATTCGTATCTCACTTTTCTGTTGCATTATATTGTAACGACCACGGGCTTCAGTACAGAATGGAGCAGGCATGGGACTCAGGGAATGGGGTTGAGCAATACATTTAATAACTTGAACAGGGGAAAGGTACACACACAGGGACAGGGGTTACAGCGCTGCACACACACACACACAGAAGAGGCTGTCTCCCAGCTTCTATCCCACTATATACAGTCCTCTAGTCACGCCCCCAGGCGGTGTTCTCAGCCCGCTTTGCGTGCGCATGGCTAAAGCGTCCTGTGTGGTGCTACATTGCCCCCGCCTGAACAGTCCAGCGTCCCGCTGACCCCGAACCGTCCCTACAGCCTGCACATGCAAGGCAGGCTGCTCTATGGGCTCCTCCTACTAGCCTCTCCATCTTGGCCATGGACCTCTATCTGCTCCGGGCCTCTGACCGCTCCACTCGATCCTGCTGCTGACACCAAGGTAACGACCACGGTCTTCGGTATGAAATTGAACAGGCATGGGACTCAGGGAATGGGGTTGAACAATACATTTAATAACCAGAATCGGGGAAAGGTACACACACAGGGACAGGGGTTACAGCACCTACACTAACACCCACACATGAAGGGAAGAGGCTGTCTCCCAGCCTCCATCCCACTATATACAGCCCCCTAGTCCTGCCTCCAGGAGCTGTTCTCATCCCGCCTTGCATTCGCATGGCTAAAGCGCTTCACGTGGTACTACAATATACACTTATTAAACAATGGAACCAGGTCTGTAAATTCAATATCATAAAACATTACAGTTACCAGATTTTAATTGTAATTTCAGCATGCAACTTTTTTTAATGTTTAAATCAGATACTCTACATGTATGACATGGCATTATCACTGTCCCTGCTGGTGTTTGGCAATAGCATGAATCAGTGGATTTATTTCCTACTTACAGTATGCATGATTAAGTAAACTACTGTGTGTTCATAACACATCTAGAGTAACAAAGAATGCACAAAAGTAGTGAGTCTTCAGTTCTTTCTGCAATGAAAAACTAACAAGTTCAGTATTGAATAATGAAAACATTCTTGAGGACACACAGTCAGAAGGATCTTTTATTGTGCTCCATTCTTGGCCTCTCAACAACCCTTTTATCACCTAGTAACAAAACAAATTACAAACATCTAGTGCTTTTCATCACAGCTAAGGACCCCAAAGTCCTTCACAATATGGTCCCAGCTGAACCAACAATTGCTGTCTGAATTGGAGCCACCTATGTGGTGAAAGAGCATAGTGTCAGTCTGTGCCAGCCCTCTATACAACAGCTGGTCTCCAGGAATGGCTAGAAATGCTAACACCATTCTCCCATCTCACAATTCTCCTTAACATGACCCGCCATTGAAGTTTTGTGAATTCATTCTTCCATTCATTCTTCACACTTGTTACTCTTATTTTTGACCATTACAACAATGGTCTCTGTAGTTCTTGTGTCCAATGCCATTTAAGAGCAGGATTCAATCAAACTAGGAGTTTTCTTTCAGGCAGAATGCACAATCTAGTCCAATGAATGTGAATAAGATATTGATTCCATCTCTGGTCTCATCAACAATATCACTTTGATATTTATTATGTTGATGTGCATTGCAAAGACACAAACTACCTGGTGCTTCAAAAACTACCTGGTGTACACTGAAAAAGTACAGTACAGTCCAAAATTGGTTTAATTCTTACTTTGTTTTAAGAAAATTGGTGAAAGTATTCATGAACAGTGAAAGATCACAGAAAAGTAGAAGGAAAAAAGAAGACATAACTGTCCATAACAAAATATCAAGAGTTTGTTTTAAAAATGGTATGGAGCAGTAGAGTGAATCAGTGAAACATCACATGGCTTGACTGTATGCCTGTTTTGTGGTAACACGAGCATGATTAAATCTTCCTATAAACATTTTCAGACAATGATGTTTTTGAAGTTAAGTGTGGAGAAAGATAGGAGTTTATCCAAACTATCACTGTTTCCATGTTTCCATGGAACACATCAGCATTCAAAGTGTTGTAAGAAAGAAACATACAGTAGGAATAAATGAATACCACTAGCTCCCAAAAATGTACAGAGTTCAGCCCCATAAAAATATCAGTTACAATTTATAGGCCGCTACCAGATGTTGCTGGAGAGACAACACAAGTTATGTGAAATCAGTAGTTGTTCTTCATAATATGAGAGAACACATTTTTCATGGTACCATGATACTGATATGAAAAGCCCAAAACTGGATCTGTTTGGAGGAGACACAAACCACAACAAGATTTAGAATGCTGAAGACTGCTGAGATGTATGTTTTGTGTTGTTCATTTCAATTGGTATTTCATTGGTAATTGTCAATTCAATTGGTAGTACACTTCATAGAACTGTATGGTTACAGTATGTGCAGAGTGGCCCATCACTGAAGATCTAGGCTAATATTTGGTGTCCTAAGAGTTAAGATGCATATAGCCAGGGGGAAAAGGCATTGGTATTCTATTTTATAGTTATTTTCAGAGATAATATACAGTAATGCCATAGAAGCTTTTGAAAGGGATAAAACATTTAGAACAATAACATGCCCATGCCCAAGTACCATGCATCAATAGTAGTAATAGAATATGCCAGTCAAAGCAGTACAATAAGGATTTGGTATACTATAGACTCACAGTGTTATTCACAAATTCTGTGTTAACATTGTTTTTTTATTATTTGAGGGCTATTAATCACATCTTATTTCAAACTGAACAATGACTTAACAGAACAGATTGTAAACTACATAAACTGATTGATAATTCTCTAAATTATATTTGTATTGCATTCCTATTAGAAAAAGTGTTGTAAATATAAGATATTTATGTTAAGCACTTTAAGTATTGAGCCTACTATGGCTGGCAATCATATTCTACCATAGTCCATCGTTAATAACTATGGGGTTATCATGGTACTTTTGCTAGAAGATTATTGGGGCTTTTGAGCATAGACCAAGGTACACTGTAGTTAATAGTGTATATATAGTTTATAGTTTTAATCTGGATTTTTTTTAAAACTGTGATTATTTTTGTCTTTGCTACATACAGTATTACTGTATGTCTAGGTTTTTAGCAACACCCAGGTAAAATCATTTTATGGATTCTGTGTATGATTCATAAATACCTAGAACACTGTTATGACATTAGCAATGTGGTGCAGTGAGAGAAGGGAGACAGTAATATCAAGGGGCCATGATACTGTATGTAGCAACACACTGAATGCTGGTTTAGTAAAGAGGTTTTCCTGAAATTTAAAAATAGAAGCTGCTAACACTCAGGAATCTGTCTCCTTTTTGCGCCAGGTTTTAAAGAAAAAACATAACGGAATACTGATCCACTTCCTGTATAAAATAATGTCTGTTTCAGTCCTGCATGAACAAAGAACACAATTAACATTACACAGAAATTGTATGCCAATTCTCCACAAAAATGCTTTCCTTGTGAAAATGATGATTAGAAGTCATTGGCACAAGTATGATGTAATAGAAAAAATAATTATTTATGGAAAACAAGTAAATTTTAATGGCCTAGTTAATCACAGTCCATATACAAGTGACCTGGCAGCATCAATAACCACAATGTTTTGGACCTTTAA